TTTTGGTAAGCTGTCTTTGCATTCTTGTACGAGCAGCTTTAAGTTTTAAGGTATGGAATTTTTTGGTAGATGAGAGAAGAGTCCGGGCTGCTATCAGACGCGCGGCATCTTTTTCATCCCGGAATTGCATTACTATCGGGCAGCACATGGATGGATTCGACTTCCGGAGTCGCCGAGCTTTGCATATGGTGTCCCGCATGCCACATGCATTCAGGATGGCAGTTTTGGCATGCTCAAGTGGAATTCGATTGGATGCATTGAATATTACTACTTGATGCCGGCATTCGATGCGTTGACTAATCTCAGAAGCTATGGTGTCAATAAGAAGTGACGCTTTTTCTAAGTTTGTTTGATTGCATTTTGCGTCAGGATCCAGAAGGCATGCAACCGATTGTATGGTTCGGAGGGACGACATTTCTTTCTCCATTTGGCGCACACGTGTTTTGAGATTCTCTAGGTCATTCAGGACTTCAGAACCTACTTGCAACGGTGAGAGAGTGTTGCCGGGTTGGAGAAAGATTGAGGGTTGAAGAAGAAGGATATGTCAGTTAGAACAACTGAACAATCTAATTTTGCCTGGGATGCTGTCGTTGCCGGCTTCGGGAGGTGAGGGGGTCGGGAGCTAGATCTTCTGGATCTAAACCGCTTCTATGAACGTGGCGGGAGGATAGCTGATGAGGATTCGAGGTCTAGCGACCGCTTTGAGGAAGACGGGACCGGTGACATAATGAGAAACTTCGGAGCAGGTTGAGGAATGATTTATTTGGTGGAATACAGTTGAGAGGTCCAGGGTAGTAGGAGAACTATGGATTGTATTAAGATAGTCAAAGTTAGTCTCAGATACCTATGTGGGCTGGTAGTTCAGATAAGACTGTGGAAGCATGGAACAGTGGCGGAGCGTTGGACGGAACCACTATGTAGATGAGGACAAAGCACGCTCTACAAACTGGGGCTAGCACTAATTAGGCCTACTGGATAAATGAAAACCTGTTTGGCACCGTGAAAAATGGCTATCCAGTATAAAAAAACTGGTAAAAGACCTATGGATGGGCTAGAATAACGAAAAAATCTACAACATCTGACTTTGAGGTTTTGGTTTCGCGCCGGGCGTTTGTTTCGTGCGACTTTGGAATTTATATCTCTTAAGCTCGTGACAAAATGTGAATGCGCGATGGTCCGTGATTTCGGAATTTCGCTCACTTACACAAAATGCTGCGAGAAGTGTCACCAAAAGGGGCAAATGGATTAGACTAACTCCCAGTAAAAATCACCACTTTGAACACCTCATGGTTACGGCTGAAATAAATATGGAGTGCCTCTGGTGAGCGGCCAAAACATAGGCGGGGACCTGGAAAGGCATCTGAAAGATCGGTGACGTAGAGTAGAAGCAGGAACGATCCCTAAATGAAGCCTTGGGGGAGACTTTATTGTAAACCGGCACTTAAGAACTGTAGGTCGAAGCTACTTTCACTTAGAATGTTCTGTCCGATAGTGACGTCTCAATGCAACATAGAATTTCACTCTGAATATCTTCTCTAGGCTATATAGCAGCGGAACGTGTGAGACCCAATCGAATGCCATTGAGAAGTGAAAAATATAGCATCCCATTTGAGTTAGTCCCTCTCAGCTTAGGTCAAGCTCCCTTTCAAAGCGAGAATGCTCTTCACGTATCAATGGTTCCAGAGAATTCTATGCTACACTATAGATATCAATTTGTTTGCACTGAGGTAATTTATGACGGTCTGCTTCAGATTTATAAGGGATTCTGGCAAGACTAATAGGCATGTAGTGGCTGGGCGACAACATAGGTCACTAGGTTAGTAGTTTGGCGTGACAATCGCTGCCTCCCAGTGTGTATTTTATGTGAGACGAGCGAAGTTTGTGGGATGTCTTTCAACAAGAATGCCAGCTGATAACTTCAACTGACCATGGCTTATAGGTAACATAATTCCTACTTTCGCCCTGGCGACAATAGTTACTGTTCATTCGGCCTGCATATATCATGAGAAAGGACCATTAGCTGCACAATGCTGTCAGGTGCAAAACCTTTACGGCTGCAGTAAAACATTTTGCGCCGGACTGTTGCATTTAGCTGCGCATGTGCCAAAACCGCAAATCATCTTAATCTGCTTACGTAGGTTTGCAGTTTACCAAATTTTATCATCCACTGGAAAAGTGTGGAGGAATAATTCGCCAGCACCGTTGAGACCCCAGGATGTGTAAATGGGGCATTAAAGTTTGAACTGGTACTCTGAACTCAATTGCCTTCAGTCCATCAGGGGCACGTCATATTTTGCGAAGGTGACATTATCCGCAGGATGCATTTAGCTGAAAAACTTTTAAATATAGAGTGAAACTTTCTTTGTAAAAATTTTGCATTTTGTTGCGTATATGCTCAACTCAAACCCGTCGTAATCCACTTTCCTTTTTCGCAGCTCACCAAATTCCATTGTTCACTGAAGTAACCATGCATCTGGCTGAAAAATCCTGTGGGATAATTTACCAGGATAGCTGAGACCCTGGGATGCCCAAATAGGGTTTAAAAGTTTAAATTGGTACTCTTAATTTATTTGTAGGATTGCTTCATTTCATCAGGGACACGTCAGCTTTCGAAAATTTAATTCCATTGTGCGAATACTGGGCGTTTCATGAGACTACGTAGCGTAGGTGAGTCAATGAAAGTAAACAATAACTCTGAAGGGTTCTCAGTTGGAACCTCAGTCTTTCTTGGGAAGAAGTCAGGACGCCATAAGGCGTTGACAAAATTCGACCTTCGCAGCCTCGGATGAAATTGGATGCAGAATGCGAAATAGGTGATTGAACCACGTGTGACCTTGGAACGGACAGCAGTTACGTAATTCTTTCAAATCTCCAATGTGATTTCGTGGAGCTGTGGCGGATGGCCAGCAGAACTTAGTGAGTCGAAGTTTCAAAACACAGCAGTTGATATGCTGGGATATAGTTCAAAAGGAGATGTATCTGACAGAGTTAGGTTGGAAAGTATTTTTCGGTCACGCTTTTCCAGTCCAAACATAGAAGATGAATATAGTTACAACTTATCGTACCTCATTTCCCACAATATGTTCGGATCGACAACTGTGACAACCCAGCCAAACAAACACAAAGACCTCGGGTGCCGAAAAGTAGAATGTCGGATACATAATAATTTTTCATCCGTGGGAAAATATATAAGTCAACTGGATGACGTGCCGGTCAAACAGCTGGTGGAGTTTAACCACGATAGCTCCAGAAACCGGCACTTTTTAAATGGAAACGGAAAGTGCGCGTGTGCACAACGTGAAAAAGAGCACTACGACGAGAAAGATCTCTTCCCTTCTTGCAGGCTGCGGAACAAGAATCATGAAAGTGGAGGAACCCTGGAGCGAAAACAGATGGCCAGAAAGGCCTTTGTTAGTGCTCATCAACCATCAGACTCACCCTATCCTGGCCTCCATATCTACGTTACTGAATCTCCACCGAGGCCATTTTATGAGGTCATGTCGTCTATGCAGACTCACGCACAGTACCCTAGGAAGACCGTTGCTTGTGATCCGATAAAATCAAAACCGAAGCCAACAACAAGACAGCGTAGACTTTCGGACAAAAAGCCTGACCCAAGTGTGCATGAACGGCTTCCGCAAAGCATCAAAAACATGACTTCCTCCTGCTTAGAGGCAAAGAGTATACCGTCTGTCGCCTCCAGGATCGAAGCACTATTTTCCACAATGCAGCTACATGATGAATACGAGTCGAGCGACTCTTTAAACGGAAAATCCTTCCCAGTGCGAGATCAAGGCTTGGCTCCTAATCCCGTTGAGGAGGTAGGACATGCGTTCAACTTTTTTATTTATAGACGAGTCACAAAAGTTTCTTGGATGATTGATAATCGTTTGGGCCTATCGACTTTAGTAGACCCGGCGAACAAGCTACTTGTTGTGGTTCGCCAAGTATTTTCAAAACCATGTTAATCGCAAATACTGATCACGATTTTTACTCCTGGTTAGGTTCGAGCTTGCGGTTATCACGGAAACAATGGAAAAGTTCACAACGTTTACAGCAAAACTGTATCTTGCCAAAGTGTGATATTTTGGAGAGCTCTTCGTTGAATTCAGTGTCTACAGCAAAACGAAACTTTAAATGTTATGCCTCACAAGATTCGAATAGAAACAAACTTGAAGCTCTAAAAACGTCATCTCTTTAGTCATGTAACTTAGGGTGCCTTTTGATAATGATTGCAGAATTAACGATAGATTCAAAACATGTTCACATTCTCATTCATCTGAAATCGCCTAATGATTCACTCGAATTCCCCATTTAGATAAAAAAAAGATTGACAAAAATTTACGGCTGTAGTGGGTGGCGCTTATACCACAAGCATTGCAGAAAAAAGGCTACCTTGACATGGCTTTGGGAATACTAGCTACCTGTTAACTCCTGTCAAAGATAAAACCTTCTTATCAGGAAGGATATAGGTCTGTTAGTGACACTTGTATCCGAACGTATATTTAACCATAAATATCGTCTGGTTCTCTTATGCACAAAATGTCCTACGATATAACAACGGATACAAGTATATGCGATTTGAGCTCGTGTTTATGATGAAATAAGCAACAACGTCTATCAGAGCTATTTGACTGCAAAGGTGTTATATTTTCTGTAAGTCGCTGAAGCGAATTCTTTAGAGATTATTAGGATAATAATTTGTGTGCAAACATACATAAACCTAACATGTACTCGAGTAAAGCTTTGTGCCTGCACCATAGTTAAGAATCAAAATTTCAATAAGTCATCAATTGGGATCGACCCAAAATACTTTTTTTGCTGATTTAAAAATGAAAAACCAGGAGCATCGCAGGTTGGGTCTCATTAAGAATCTTTACAATACAGCAAGCTATAATCGTGATTTTCATACTGAAGTCGACTTGTGTGGCAAACGTGTACCAATGCAGGTGTTGATAATATTTTAATGGGCGTTTCCTCACTGCATCGACTTGAGTAGCTTTCACTATTCCAATGCTAATGTTATACGGAGCTTACTTGTTGCCGTTGTGCACTAAGTGAAACAGATAAGTTGGGATCTGATTGTAGTTCCATATCGTAGACTGATCAATGAGTTGGAAGCCAATCTTCTGTTAGCTGTAGATAATAAAAATGCAAACGTGATTCCCTGAATCGGATTTGTTAAATCTGGAAAAAAAGTAATTTTGATGAATTGTACTTTTACGTTTCGTGCTGAAACGGCACTTTGTGTAAAATGTGAGTATACGATCTGTTTGAGTGAAATTTTATGTGCTATAATGTTTGAAGATTCCAACATAAATAACTTGAAATGTCTGTTCTGTGATCAAGCTTACCCAGAACAAACCAACTATTGCTTACCAAGCCCTGCTTAGTTGTGAAATTTCTTTTTCGAATTTTTATAAAAGCGAGTAGACAAGACTGCAACCGTTCGACTGCACAGATCAGCAACCTTTACGTCGAATAGACCTAAAGAGCTCTCGAATTCCGGTCAGGTGAGATGATTGTGCTAAGCAACCGTACGCAGTGACGTCGTTGATGCAATGTTTGTTCTGCTGTTTACGCCGCCGTTTTCCGCCGGTTTTATTATGTTTGTAGTGTTTTTTGAGCCTTTACCTGGAAGACTACCGGTATGTTTTCTTTCATGGTGACCATGTAGAATACTGCATTTTAAAATGCCAGCCTGCAGGCTGTCCATGTTTTTCTACTTGCGATGTTTGTAGCAGGCTTTCATTACAAAGCCATAGAAAAATGGTAATATCTCAGTTAACCCGTTTTTGATACCGCTATTAATTTCTATGTAACGAACATGTCTTGTTGGAATTTTATTCCAAAGAGGCAGATAATCCCAGCATTAGATTCACATTAAGGAAATTAAAAGAGATGTAAATCATTTGAGGTAACGGATTCAACAGTCTGGTTGACGATATTAGGCCAGTAAATCATCCAAAGTGGAATAATAATTTCAGAAAGGACCTTGTTCTTCCATAAGTAGCCCCACTTGGAGCCATTTAGGTGGCCATAATCTGGTGTGAAAATCCAGGTGTGAGACTCATTAACCCAAGAACAAACACGTTCAGGCATGTGGTGGGATAGTCGCAGCCTTTGCATTACTTGGGTGTGTAAGAGCTTTTCTCCGACTTTATCCGAGCACACAAAACTTTCTACTGTTGAATGTTATAGCCTAGTTACTGCCTTAATATTTCACTGCAAGAAGTTTGAATTTATTATGTTCAGTGCCATAAATAGACACACTGGTTAACGTTTCAGTTGTGTAGTGCCACACAATAGAAGATAAAGCCTCAATCAATCCAATTCAACTTGCTTTCTTCTTTTAAACAAACAAAGACAAACGAATATTGCTTCACTTGTTGCAAACGGACCTATGCGGTGGACCGAATAGTGATTGGTGATCGGACTTATCACAAAGGATGTTTTCGTTGTACTACTTGCCAGCGGACATTGCTGTAAGTCCTTAAAACTTATGCCAATTGGTAACGAAGTTTCTGATAGTACTATTATAAATTCCGAAGCAAGACGAACTACTGTTTTAGTGGCCTTACGTCAATTCTTTTGGAAGCTACAAATGTTCGTACCACTTGAACTAGGTTTGGTTTTAACAAATCAAACCTTTAAGGTTGCTGGATATAGGGTATTCAGAGTAGCCTGTTCAACATCCTAGGTTTGAGGCATAGAAGACGTAAAGTTAAATGAAATATATCCTTAGGTAACGACCTTTGCAGCAGTTTGTGATGGTTATCTTCCCGCAGTTTCTGGGGCTTTTCGAAAGCCGTTACACCTAATATTGAATAAATAACTCTCCTTCACAGACATAAGTATTCACTTTCTTCTTTCCACACTAAAAAATGTGCTAAAGCCGTACACATAGAAGGGCGAGTTAATTCGGCAGGCCGACAAACACTATGGTCAAAATAGTTCCTGTGCTACCAGAGAAGTAGGTCTTGATGAAGTAGGTCTTACATCGGACAGAATCATGACGTTCCCCACAGCTATTCATGGTTCTGAAATACCGCCATAAGTATCAGTAACCACTTCAGATTAATTGGAGTCCGTGGTTGACTTCGTTCTGCCGTGCCTCATAAGCGTACCATATAAGTTTAAGAAGTGCACCAGAACGTATGTGTTGAACATGGAAACCCCATTCTAAGTCTTTCGGGTACAAGACGAGGTTTGCTTTGAAATTCGCTCCTCGGCAGGCGTGCTGCTTTCATCCCTGTTTGTTGGATTTAATGTGGATTACATAATGTCGTACGCCACCATGAAAAAGGTTACTAATTAGAACCACGACTCGGATTTCCGTCACTGGCTTCACTTAAGTCATCGTCCTTTCCAGCAAGGAATCAGGAGAACTCTTGTTCATACAGACCACAAAATTAACCCCTAGCTTTTCAGTTGAACTGAAGATAAATTAAGTTAGGGTTAAGTTCGCGGCTACCCTGATGATGGCTAGGATGGGCTCGTAAGTTCTCAGAAATTAGGTAGGTTCTTTTAAATATCCCACATATCTCACACTTTCAACTGGCTGACTTGACAACAAGATGTCGCTGGTATCCACAGCGTGAGAGAATTGAAGCTCCCGACCACTGATACACACAGACCTAGTTGGGGTGACAGGTTATTTAATGAAGGCACCAGGAAGCAATACTGTTCTGCGTTTTTAATAAGTACGTAGCTGCGTCGACGACATCAATTTGGGCTTATCCGCTGCAAACAAGATTCCACGATGCCAAGTACGTCTCAAGGTTTGAACACCTAAAGCAAGAGTGCTCTAATGTGAATGACACCCTAGCGCTGGAAAATGGCGTAGACACTGAATTATTGAGTCCCTGTATGGGCTATGAGGCCAAGCAGTGAATGAAAATAGGGATCACGGTCTGCTGGGACCATCCCGCTAGTTTTACTGTATTTGTAGCAGTTTTAGCGCTCTCTCATCCTCATTGCTGAGGAATTCTCCATAGAGGAAACGTATGAGTTCATTATTCCAAAAATAACGATGACTCGTACAATGATACTCAAGTGAATTTATTTCCGAATATAGATAAATTGGGGATATGGTGGTACCCGTGAAGACATGTCGTCGAGATCTTTACTTCACTTGACATAGTCATAGATGTAATGTAGTTGAATCACAATGAACTCATTTTAAATGGAAGTTTCATCAGAGGAGGTGCACAATGGTATCCAACATCATTGTAGTCGTGATGAGTTTGGCGGTCTAACAGGACTTTAATTAAGCGCTTACTTCTAGTCTTCTATAGCTTCACATTGGAATGCATCAAATACAAGGTACATTTGTAAGGGAGTTCAACCATTTTCTGATCATATGATCTTGTTGTGACCGATCGTCAGCTTGTGTGGTCGGCTTTTTAGCTAAAAACTAATTTATCCTGCTTGTCATTCATTTACTTTTAAGACAGAATAATATTCAAACCATTTGTTTATATTTTAATTGTATGTCCAAACGGAAGTTGAAGCTAGTTATGGAGAAACTCATACTTGAGTGGACGTTTTTTTCTACCACGACTCATCAGGTGCTCAATAAGCAGGCAATTAAAGGATAAATCTTTGAAGAACTTGTCCGCTTCCTAACGATCTGAATAGGAATACGCGCGTTCTACAAAGTGACCGTCAGCATGGTCAGACAACAAGTTATCACATAGATGTTCAATACAGTACCTCCGAGACTAGAAATCTAACCACTTCTTTTACTTGATTGTTTTAATTGGCCTAGTTCAGTTTAGCAGTTCAATCTAGCAATTGTAATTTTTACACTATTTGTCTAAAATTTTTTCCCATTCAAACTCTTTTTGGAAAACTTTGAAAGACCTGGAACATTTGCCTCTTTGGATGGTGTTATTCTCTGCAAGCCGCACTATGTCGAGCAGTTTCGGAGAACTGGTAAGCAATATTTTATTTTAAACAAATTTACTAATGCATTCTCAAGAGCTAAAACCAACAATCAATTTTGAGCATAGGTTTTCCTAACAGTGTCAGATTTATTCGTTAACCTCGTTTAAATTCAACCAAACCTGTTTTACCCTGACGATCGCTGCATCAGGATTGCAGTCCAGTCTACCCGATAGCTGTGTTCCCCAGGAATTCAAAAAAACGACAACAACGAATCCAAAAAGAACACAGATTTTCTCAGCTTTGGAATTTCCGTCTGGGCTGTAGCCGCCCTTTGATACCCAACTGCCATGTCACCACAAAGAAGCACGAGGGCTGGGATACTACCAGGTTGCACCAGCCCGGACAGTGGAAATTGAGACGCAGGCGTCCGGTTTGGACCACGGATCTTCTGATCAGTGTATTCGCGCTCTAACCACTGAGCTTTCTCGCCCAAGCAGATTTGTTGATTTATTTCTAACTTAGTTTTATCCTATTTTGGATAGAAATACTAATTTGTCACGTTTACATAGGCGAACAATACGCTTTTTAGTTCTTACTAAGTTCGGCTAACTTATGAGTAGTGGCTACATATAGTTTGGCTAAACCTGTTCTCGCAAGTAATGCCCACTAACAGCATGACACGGAACAAGGCAATGGAGGTATGATTTTTACTTATAAGACAGGCAGCACCAAAAATATGTATCCCTGAGGTGCGCAAATGGCAGTACAGGAGAACGACAGAGGCAAAAGAACTTGACGGCGAATGATTCAAGAAAACAACTTGTCTTTGTACTCCCATGTGGTGCAGGAAAATCGAACTAAGATGTGGCGGATTTTCCCCGATTGTGGCAAATACTATTTTGATGTGCGTCATCTGATCTCATTGGCGGAATTTAGAGACACGAAATGGTTACGAGATTAGCATATTACATGAACTCCATCGAAAACTTGCCGTTAGCATTCTTCATCGCCAGTGACTAGTATTTGTGCCTTTTCCCACCAGCGTAATGTAGTACATAATATCGGACGGCTACAAAAACATGATTCTTTGTATAGAGGAAAGTGTTGGTAGCTAAGATACGTAGATGGTTGTTGGTTTGTTTGCTTAGCTGGTCAATTTGATTGCAAACGTTTCATCACCATTGAGGTGACATCACCACGCTTCTTAACAACGCACTTGTATCACTTCATCATCGACGGGAGTACGAGTGCTGGGGATGCGTGGACATCGACGAAGCACGACACAGGATAACAGAGCAACCAGTGGAAGCGTCTGACCTTACAACTAACCGTGATCAAAGGTGAGCCGCGGCTAGAAGCACGCATAATAACACACACCAGCTCAACGAACAAATCAAAGACCATGTTTACATGGAACTGTGAGCTGAATATAACACGCTGTCGTCCTATTTTACGAATCTTCACACGAATTTAGAACCGAACTACACGTTGTGATTTACATAAGAATGAGATGTTAAATATGAAACCGAGAATATACTGTAATCGAGTTTCAATACACTGACTGTTTAAATAATGGGGTAGCTAATAACAGTTCTTTTAAACCTTATCCACGGAGACAGAGTTTAACTCTGTCATCTGACTACCGTTTTCCATCTGGAGTCCACTCGAAATTTTAATACAGCGATAAATCGCGACTTGAAGATGCACTGACAAATCTACGAGTGACAATGTGACTGTGTGATGAAATCAGATTTGCGTAGCTACGTGCTTCGTCTAGGCAGCTACTTAATTTACAACTGCACACAAGTCGTGATCAACGAGAATTAAAACTTGCTTCACGTGACTGAGTGGTAATGAACACCTGAGAAGAAGAGACCAATAGCAGCTCAGAGTTTGCTGAGTTCGTAATATGTTCAAACTAGTTCGTAAATTCTGTATCCGGATAGGTGTTGACTTATTTCCACGTATACAGAGGAACACACTGGTTGAGATTTGTTCACATGGCAGTCTAAATTGCTGAAATAAGACTTTCGGGTATTTTGAGAATAACCTAAAGGTGTCATTGGAATAACAGACAGTAATATTGCACTACAGCCGAAATTCACTGTAACGGCAATTTATCAACACGATTGCTAGCCCGACCACTGAGTGAATGACATAGCGAACTGGAAATGAGGTCGCTAGAGACGCGGCAAAATTTTGATGTGAATGACCGAAGCAGAAGCTGAATAAGGTCCCGGTACCAGAGTTGAGCGTTGTTGAGCAAACCATATTTGGATACGTATGTCAGATATTGAACTCAACAGAGGAATCTCGACCAGGCTGTCATTCTCAGATTTTAACATAGATGAAGCTTGCTGGTTGAATGCAGGACGAGACCTACCAAACCAACTCTGGGGATGCATATCAAACCAGCGATTCAGCTGGGTTCAAGGTGAGTCACCCACAAAACCAGATTTGTTTGCAAACAGGTGCATTCACTAATTATGGGGTTGATTCACTGATGGTTTCACAGCGAAGCGCGCATTCAAGACGTGTGCAAATATTTTCTAAAGGTTTGATTTTGCTTACATCCAATACTTCTGATTCTAAATATGATCCTGCGACTCACAGTTTCGCCGAATGATTGGTATTTTACCACATCGATTTTAGGCTTCATAAGGTGTTTTTAGAGACGAAGGGTCTTTCTGGACAGCAAATACGGTTGCGTACAATAGCCAATGTTCATTCGAGTCAAAATTTTGTGGTGGATACGCAGTTGTCAAGGTAACTAAACGGGCTCCTATACATCCATGCCTCACCTTCATTTGGGTTTGGGCGTGGCTTTCGTTGCTCTTAGCCAGGTACGTTTGTAGGCTTTGCCCTGAGTCACCATGGTGTATAACAACCAGGTAGTATATGTCTTTATGGGGTTAGTACTATTCTAAATTCAGTTGTTTGCTGTGTTCACGTCAAACAGTGAAGTTTCACCTTTAATGCACTTCAAGCACAACATACTGCGGGTATTTGTATGGCCTCTTCGACACTATTGATGGTTGTTTAATAGCCAGCGAAATCCATTGGGTGAACCTGTGATTCAAGAAACCCGCCACCTATTTTACATACGATTTGATTGGGAAGAAACTTTACGAAATGAGTTTGAAATATTCGGAAACATTCAAGTGATCGATGAGGGCTTTATGGGTTGTGTTTCCTAGAAATTATTAATGGCGCAATGTGATGTGTTTTTGTGTGATACGCTAACCACATGATTTCATGATGAATGTATTGCGCAGCATTATTACGAAGACTCAGTCGAACCGATCACCTGCACACTGTGCGACTTGTTACTAGGTTTCACGAAATCTGACCAAAATTGGATAAGCGTAGTTTCACAGAAAGAGGAATGAGTCAATTTAGCAACAAAGTTGCGTATGTTCTCCGTTATTGTTGTTCACAAACAGTCACCGGCCGAAAAATAGTTGGTAGTAATTCAGCTGTCGGTGTGCTTAAGTGTCATAGGGAATACTATGAATGCTCACACAGGTGGTGGTTTCGCCTTCATGTTTCACGTCATAGAAAAATCCTCCATAAGTGAGCCATTACACCTGAGTGTTCAAAACGAAATTTGCTGTTACGAGTGACGCATTGCGTAATATTTCTAAACTGGTCAGTCTCAAAGAGAGTTTTTACTGCGATTATCTACTAGTGATCAGTCCAAATCGTTTTGATTTAGATGGATTCTTGTCCGCAGTGATGGCAACTGCATTAGATTTCCGTAAATTAAAGTTACACAAAAGGTTTACAGCATTTTGTTAATTTTCCATAGATACATTCCGAGCTTAAGATTCAGTGCTCCATCATGAATGGGAACATGGAACCTGTTGTTGGCAGCGGAGGAAACGGATGCATGATTTAAGCCTCAATGGAATCAGGCAAAATCGCACCCACACCGCAAGATCTGAGATATTGGTTCGTCGCTGCCTGTTTCAAGGATTTAAAGAATAAAGAGTAGAAACACATTTCTCTCTTGTAGCTAAAATTCAGCAACTCGTTTTCGCCCTCTAGCAAGGCTCTAGTAGACTGAACTATGTTCCAGTTACAGCCACCTTACAAGTATTTACTTTCACAATTGAAGGTACAGAGTAGCAAGGGCTGGTGTGTGCAACTAAACATCTTGTGCTTTAAAGTAACCGACGGGAATATCATTTTTATTTTACTGCTCAATACTTACTGTTACTGTTCCCATTCTCAGGTCGTTATGAAGTTCGAAAATCCTCAAGTGAGTAGTGATCCCACTACATTCCCTTTTTAGTTTTACTTATGCTTTATGTCATACGTCTCCAGTAAAGTTCCATACTCCATACTCCAACTCTGTAATTCGTTCCTGTGAGTAGTGAGTAAATAATATTTCGGGTTTTATCGGCTTGTCGTGTCATGCAAGCAGACATTTTATGATTGAATGCATCATAAGCGTGGCCAGTACAATGACCCGAAACTTTACGTTACTGGACAGTGTATATTGTATGCGAATCACATGGATGTGCGGATTTGAGAATTCTATTGTGTTACACACGAGTTCTACCTTCACTCAGCCAAGTTCCGTCCAAAAATTGATGACATCACGCTGTCAGTCATTTATATCGATCTATAAACGGATCGATGGACGCCATAGTTACGGCTTGGTTTTGCTATCATGATAGTTGTGATTGTTCCAGTGTCGAATTGGTATGTGCCGGTATGATGAGTCAAAGCCTAGCCCTTACGCTTGTTTGGAAAAAGAAAGTTATAAATTTTGATTGCAACATCAGCTAGTATCCATACAATTAGAAGTGCCATTACTCGTGGTCTTTTCACCTCGTGGAGGTCTTCGAAATGTGCAGTCACCCGGTTATATTGGTTCAAATATCACGTATAGCAAGTTTTTTCATCAAAGAGTCAAGCGAATCTGCCCTGCTCAAATATACTGTCTGGTTTCTCAAGGAAGCGAGTTGATCTGTTTAGGTTCTGGACGAAAAATGGAGAAATTAACCCAACGAAGCAGTAACCTAAAGAAAAACGGCCCTTGTTAAGTTCTCAACTTGAGTCCAGTTCTGACAGCATGTGAGCAACAATAGTAAGGAACACAACTGTTGCCATAATTTAGCACAAGGAGTGTGTTTATTAACGCTAAATCACGGTTAAATTCTTCTAAATTCGAATGACCGTTGGAGGGTCCCTACAGCTTCTAGGCTATCAAAGCATCATCTAGAGTATGATGCCACTCCTGCTCAATTTATATTGCTTGGACGAGAGACAGGCAATATACCTATAGATTACACTTGGCTAGAGTTTGCCTCTATAGTCACAACTTAAATCAGTTCGACTTTCCAACTAACGAATATTTCAACTAAGACAAAAGAGCATAACTGTCATACGAAATTCGGGTTAAATGCACGTGTGAGAATGAGAAAAGGGTCTAAGTACCGTAAGAGCCATGATTTTTTAATAGTGACCAAGCAAGCGGCTAAGGATTAGAAAATAGCTGATACAACCCTGTTACGGAGTTGTTCTGATATGATCCGGCTTTCAAACGCATCTGATACGCCCGATACACCATTTGGTTTGACCTCAGAAAATAAATTCTTTTAATGCATTCTAAATGGCAGTGAATCTGCTTGGGTGAGGAGCTGCTCTCAATACTCAACAAGTTCCAGAGTAATAACCTCTCTCAGACTGCGGGAAACTGAGTGCAGTGACAAAATAGGTAGCATTGTTAAGCGCTTTTTCAGGTTTTCTTACGCACCATTTTAAAGCCCGATATAGGGGCCGAATCCATTGTTTAATTGATACACTACTCATAAGGTTGCGAAAAATTCTTTGACAGCCCACGACCGGTTTTGCTTTTCTAGAAAGAGATATCTGTATGCTAGTCCACATGTCTTCACTTAAGATTAGGGAACCGTTGGCTGTCCCTGACACCTCCGAAGGCCTACATAACAGCTCTGCTTACTACTATCTTCCTAAAGACCAGTCAGATTTCTGTTGGTTATCTTCGTTTTTATTCAAATCTGATGAAAGGTCCACTATAATAGACATAATAGACAACAATAACACCAATCATCGGCGTAGCAGCAACGGACTCGATAAAGGTGTCAGTTATGACACTGTAACCATTCATTTTGAAGCCAGAATGCCGTTTGTGTCAGACAAAATAATGAACGCATTAAAATTTCATGGTCGCAGAACTCGGCTCCCTTGGTTCAAAGAGTCACAACGCTCTGTAAAAATTTTGGTATTAACCTCTTTCAAATTTAACTGCTGCAAATGCAAATTAAAACGAATATCAACTAATAGAGCAGTGAAGATGACTTACACTATTAAGAAGCCTGACAAATATGTCGCAGATACTCAGTCATTGTTTTGTTCATTCCATTCCAAGTATTTGTTGACAAATATAGACAGAGAACAGGCCACAAAATGGCATGAATACAGTCAAACTGATAGCTGTGAGATCCACTGGCCTCTCCTGAAGGTGATTACGCGATCTTCCTCACTCGTGGCCTAAGAGTGCGCATAACCAATCTCGGTGGTGAGCGTTTCCAAAATAACCGAGACGACCAGCTTAGCCATATCTGACGTTGTGCATTGTCACTGCTTTGGGTTAAGTTCGCCAGGTATATGGGGTCAATCCCACTGACTGTCTTCCCCAAACGATAGTTATTTTCAGACGACTATGTTACGAGAAAACAGTCCAGGGAACAAGCTAATCTGGTCCCCCAAATATGTTTTATTCAAAGTTGTTCGAGAGTTAATGCACATTTCTTCCTCTCCCTCTTGTTTTTTCTTCCCCTGTTGCCCTCCATTTTGCCCCACTTGTAGTACGGCAGAAGGATACCGTTGATAGGCGAGGTGACTAAGATTATTTGACACACTCGTTTCAGGACATCCACCCAGACCACGCCCTCTATGGTTAGACTTTTTTGAACTGATTCGCTAAAGCTTGCGGTTATATATCAATGTTTTTTTGCTACAAAATAGCTTTTTGACTGGGCTCAATGTTGTATATTGGTCACCCTAGAGAACACTCATGACAAAAGTTCGTTTCCCAAGAGAGCTCAGATAATTCTACGCGTAATTTCAAACATCTAGAATCTGCATCCGTCTGCACGAAGCGTTCACGATTCTGCTTCACAAGAGTCGACTGTAACCGTGTTGGGATTCAGAAAGATGTAAGTTTACGATGCCACCCAACGGGTTAAAAGCTCTTGCCTATAGACAAGTTAAATGGGTCGTTAATTGATAGATTTGATGTAGTACACAAGTGTGCATGTCGCGAGAAATTTCGAATGTAAACATGCGATGTACTGTTAAGGGCTTTTGAATGTCGGTTTTCAGAGGCTTTCCGTACAATATCTATTTAGTACAAACAACTGTGACGCCAAAATATCAGTTCATTAACGTTAGCGATGAAGCTCAATTGGAGCCCTGTGCTTATCCAGTGTACAGTAACCCATGGTTTGAACCCAGTAGCATCAGCAACCTCAAACAACTGATCTCCTTTTTTCTCCTTCTCTTTTCTAGTAAGGTGTGATGAGTCCGAACCTACTTCAGCCGGAAATATTAGCTGTGACGAATAAGCGATCACTGTCAAATAACCGCGTAAGTCCCAGACAAATGTTTCAGTGTACTTTGGAGCAAAAACAGTTTATTAATGGATTTTAGGATGAAGTACTCCATACACTATTTAAGCAGCCTATCACAGAGATTTCTTTCCCTTTTCACCAAGTAACTCGAGTCTGAAACTCTCCCAAACCTCCAGTTTCTTTGGAAACAATACAAGTAGAGCGTGCTAGCTTTCAGCCAATGGCAATCGAAAAACGCTGCTAGTTTGAGAATATTTTGAAGTTTTCAATTAAATTTTGTCTTTTAGTGAAACCAGTCTATGTTGAGCAGCCAAAAATTGGTACAACTGAAAATCAATTGCACTGCGTATTTCAAAAAACTCAAAAATGTTTGGAACACATCCGCTGGCAAATAGCATGAACGATTGATCATCTGACCATAAGTGGCTGATCAGCAGTCGAACTTACTAGTAATTAATATTTGACGCCATTCATCCTTCACTCACGGAATCCACATCGCGTGGTCACACGTGTTGACAGGCCTCTCGAATGACGACTCTTAGGATGGAAGTTTCACTCACCTGCTAAAGTATTCCAATCGAGTTCTGGGATTCTTAGGATAGGTGAGTCAACAGTAAAAACGTGCATATTAAGCATTAATGACTGTAATAGTCACACATTGCGTGAAGCTGGTTGTAATTTCAAAGTTGTAAAGACTGCGGTAGCATTATTATTCGGCAGTGTGAAATTCAAGGCAAGTGTGCGACAAAACTACGATTATGACGTGCTAGAATTTGTGCATACTGATAGGATCTCGTACAATCTGGTTCAATTTTTTTAAATAATTCTCTCGGAGGCAAATGAACACAACCGCCGTTTCTCTCTTAAAGGAGAATTTGTATTTGACACACTGATAGGTGGCATCTGTCTAACGCAAGAGTACAAGTTTGACGTCTAAGTTGGGAAAGGGTAGTTCGTGGGTAGTTCATGCATCGTAACTCGAAAAACGTTTGCAAAACTTTCTTAAAAAAGGCAAACCTTCTTCGGCACATACAGTGTAATTCAGTTAATTTTTATTAGAAATTCTCAAGGGCAACGTGTGATTCATATGAGATTTGCCTCACCCACCTTTCGTTTTCTCCAGCTGACGGGATATGACGAGCGGTATTCGATTCGCGTCCACTTGCATTATACATCTTGAACCAAATGGTCGCAGCGTCACAGAGTAACCACATGTGCAAAGCTTGGTGTCTACCAATGGACCCTATCAGACGATCCATGTAATATATACAAACCCTTTGTCGTAGCGTTAGAAACTTTTGGATTGATTGTGCATCCAAGCGTCTTTGAAATGGTAGCGGCGTTGACAGCCTTTAAGGCGTATTTCGTGACAGAGGTATATGGTTGATAGTGATACTGAAATTTACACCTAGTTACCAGTCCTGGATCAAAAAATTCTAACGAAGTAGTAAGCTCGCTATTGGTTAGGTCAGCAAAAGTTTAAGCAGAAATATTTCTACTTTAGAAGCATTTCGTGTCTGACTCAAGCGAATTCATTGTTGAAATCCCCAAACTGGCTCTGTTCTACACCCGGCTTTTACTGTAACCAGGTTAGAAGATCATGAATGTAACCGAGCGAATGCTCCCGTTTTGTCCAATTAAGTGCCATTTGCTTGAACGTATTTAACTTTTGGATTATTTTCGCCTCTTCGGCGCGTATGGGTCTTGCACAATCTTTCGTGAGATAGTCACAGTTTTCGGGACTAATAATTTCGCTTAATAAGAGCGTGGATAGGGAGGCAAGTGAAACGGTTGTGACGATGGCAATCCTATTTAGTACAAGTTACTGCTTTTCATTATTCCCTGAAGCCTGATGTCAATTTTTCCTAAATCAGATTCAGGTTAAAATTTTATGGAATCGTATGATGAATAAGCCAGTGGGATAGTAAATATTGCGTTGGTCAACACACAGTTACAGTATTCATCTTACGTAAATTATCATGTGCACAAAACCACAATTTCAGAGTTATTACCGAATACTCTGCCCGTTAGTTCTAATATCTTGTGTGAGTCACGTCTTTGAACAGAGTAGAGTAGGGCAAATTCAATTTCGTGAAAATCTTGACATGTTAAACGGTGCAAAAATATAGTTGCTAAACACGACTCCATGTTAAATCCTATGACGAACAATAAACAACAGATTCTGATTTATGGTAATCGCGCGAGTCGGTGTATTGTGTCTGGTCAGTTTGCCTTTCGGTACCGGGTTATATGCTACTCAGGATTTTCGTTGTTCTCATCCGGTATCTCGTAACATCGAGCGAAGTAACCAATTACGACGTCTTTCCTGTCCTTCTAGTATTTGAACTCCCCGACCAACATGAAGGTCCGATGACCTTGGAAAGTGATTCTTCTTCCCACTCGAATTCCACTGGACCCAGAAGTTTGGAGAAACATTCCAGTATGTTTCGTCGCATTTCGCCATTTTCCCTCAGTTCGAATCGAGCTGGTCAAGCTAACCGCTTTCTGCTTAACCACAACTGATTCACCAAGCATCGAGCTTCATCGGCTATCGGCACCATCCTTAGCATCACTTTTTCCAAGTGAAAATACAGGATATATTATACACAAGATTTACCCGCCATTTTGAATTAGGCTGCTGGGTTACTTTTGCCATTCGATGTGAATACAATACAGAAATCGCAGGGTGACAGCTGAGACGAGCCGTTATACGAAATAACGCTGCATAAATATCACTGCAGCAGGATTTGATGGTGGCCTGAAAACCCAAGAACGCTCTGGGAAAAGTACCGCCAAATTCATGTAAGCGCAGTACCTTACTAAAGATTTTCTTGTCAACAACACTAAAACAATTCCATTTAATCAACCGACAAGGAATAAGGATCGAAACTGCATAAGAAAAAGGTATCGATTTAAAGAAAATCAGAAAAGCCAACTTGCACCTGCTCACCAAATAACCCAAGGAGATCACATTTGGGGCATATGAATGACCGAAATGAGAGGGGGATACCAGTCATTATAAAGACGAAAATAAGCCTGTGAGACATCAAGTAACTCGGTTGGGTTTCGGCATTTTTTCTTTAAAATGGAGATCACTTTAGATAAGTTGTTTGGATCAGCAGACTAGTTCAGGATGTTCCGACACATTTTTCCGCCTTTATTAGAATCCCGTTTATTAGAACCTTCAGAAGAAAAATAAATAAATCATCAAAAACCAGTCAACCGAGAAACCCAGGTCACGACACCAGTTGAACTGATAAGTGAACATTAAAAAATGAACAGTATATTATCAAGTTAAAATGAATGGGGACAATTGACCTGACCAAATGCGGGCGGATCGCAACAAAATAGTCACTACAAACGAACGAATCAGAAGAGCAATCAGGTATTTTTGGATGAATTTATTCGAAGAGACAGTTCAGATACATAAACAGTAGCGCAAAATGTCACGAACGGACCGGTAGACTTACGAGGAATTTGATTCGCTACTGAGGTCGATAGTTACTAGCCAGTAGTAATATAAGCCATATAAACGCGTGCGGTTGAGGAATAAGTATCCAGTCAACTACGCTCCAATGATGCACCTAGTTTGGTGAAAGTTTTGCAAACTGATTACCAAGCGCGATGAGTGATCAACAGTCACTCGGTTAATATTCTATAGCTCAGTGGCATTTTGACACGGAACTGTAGTCCAAGAAGCAGCGATCTCTTATAAACTGAGGGATTGGTGGATTTTATTCACTAATGGTGTTGATAATGTAGGTCAGAATAATATGAGCTCAAGTGAATCAAGAGAGAACTTAACCAGATAGTTTATCGTGCTTAAATGATTTCATGCAAGCGGAACGGGCGAAGAACTCAGCTGGCCTTTGGGCCTAAGTACTCTTGATTTCAAGCATCGGATCCAGTTTATCACAGCACGCTGAATTCGATAAACGCTTTCAACCAGTTTTAAGACATATGTTTCATCCCATTTCCACAAACAAGGGCGTACAATCCGAGAATTCTGTGCAATTCACCATTCACCCACAACGTGAAGCCTATGGTTGAAGGCTGCGTAGCACTTTACTTTGTCTAAGTGTGAGTTAATCATACCAACCATCAACTTCTTAAGGTTGAACTGTCAATTGCTCCGACGTTTTGCGAAATGTCTCTTGTCTGACTTTTCCAAGCGATGCATGAGGTGCTCATGTCTATGATTTTTTAACGGGACTCTTATCACTCTCAATATAAATAAGAATTCAGAAAATTCAAGAATCTTAGGAGTTGAGTTATGAAAAAGCCAATGTCCCATCAAAACCTGGTCAGCAGAATTCAGATCTTGAGATGAGCACGCCAGTTAACTTCTAGCAATCTACACTGGTGGATATATAGAGCGATGATTTCAGAGACGTGTACGCCCAAGCGTGAACACAATCGTCTATTAATATGTGTTCACTTGTGTAGAAAATATGCGTCTTGAACACCAAGCCATCGGGTTGGGTTTCGGAGGTTTCTCCTTAAAAATGGAGATCATCCAGGACGTCCTGTTTGAATCAGAAGACTACTGCATGCTACTGCAGAATATTTGTCCGTCTTTGTTAGAATTCCGTTTATTCGAACCTTCAGAAAATGCCTATATCTATTCTGGAACTTACAAATGTGTGCATTATTTCAAAATCAGAAACATTTTAGATTCCTTTGTGAATCAGTAAACACGACCAAACACCGACTTTACTGAGCAGCTATTAGTGAACTCAGATGCCACGAAAGCGTCGCTTTTTGTTTCGCAACAAATCTTAACTTTTAGCTGAAAATTTCACAATTGGTTGCATCTCCATAGTTTTTAATCTGAAGCATATTTTCGAGTGCATTGTGACGGAATACAGGAAATCAATCTAACGTTAGGAAAATTAACACAGGGTGTAGCGTGTCTACTGAGTAGACTGTCTGGATTTCAAGATTTTCCTCGGGTGTATGAATCATACACTCGCCACTGTAAAAAGATGTACCTCCACAAGACTCGGCGATCGGTTTCACCAGTTTAGACTATGAATTTTAAGCTGAAGAAAAACTGATTTTTATGCTAACATATGTTGTCTTTTGTGAGTCAAACTAAAGATTTTGTTTCGTGTCTCACATCTATACCTGGTCGCATAGCTCACTAACACACTGCGTCTTGTTGACCTGATATGCCTTATTGATTTTTTTCGCTATTCGCTTTTTCAGTTCAGTACACCGCCGAGCGGAAGGTGTGTGCACTGAATCCTACAACTGAATCAATAGCGTTTCAAACTTGCTCAAAACTTCCGGAATTAATGACCCGATCTTTGGCTGGCTGGCAGTGGTTATTCTATCAGTTGCACAAGGCCGTATCGACTGGCATAAATCCAACCAAATCCATTAATTAGATCCTGGCGTACTTTTTGATTGTCAACAATAACAGACTGTTTGTGAACTCAGCCACAGTCACAAACGATCAATTATTTCGGTTTCGATATTGATCACCAGCGGTGAGAGAACCGCTGAGTCGTGAGGAACTTCTGCGACTGTCACTGTTATCCCACCAGTAATCAATATAAATGGATTTGACACATAGGCACGATATATTTGGGCTCATTCGTACTAAATGAGATGTTCACATTCAAACAACCAAATATTTTCAAGAGTCGCATAGAGACGCTAGATATAACCACCAAAAAGCATGCTTGGTGAGCCAATCTAGGTTGTGCATGATAGTTCACCGGTACTAACTACACTGCGATTCACCCTCCGGTCGTCATTTTATGGACGGATAGCAAATTTTACTGATCGCAGCTGAAAAACACCCAAAGTTTCTAATAGCCCATGCAGCAAATGTGCGTTTCTGTCGAACTGTTTTAGGTCAGCGTTGTTCGGAGTGAGATTTCGTCCTTTTTGTCCCCTTTTCAATCTAGCTTTCGTACACAAAATAGGTTAGTAATGGTTGTCTTGCAAATGCATTCTTATATCCTGCAGCGCACATGTGAATGGACACGTTAGCTTGAGTATCTTAAGGGAAGCTCAGTGAAGTGTAACTACATTCAGGGTTACCAGATATTTTGACTTGGTTGAAATATATCACAAATTGCATGTCTTTTTCCCGTCCAGTAGTCTTCTATGGGAATTTCACCATCACGTTTACCACTTCGTATTAGGTGCCAGCTGCCTACATGTATCGAGATTCTCAAGTAAATAGGAAATGAAAAATGATCATCCGGAGTTTCATAGAACATATAGAAATCTTTCGCATTACTCGATCATTGTCCCGAGTAATTGTCTTCTGCAGCTGTTTGTTAACGTTTACTTCTAAGATTCCATTCATCCTAATAAAACACATGTTATTAGGTTGTGCTCATTTTAACAGACTCAATTCTTATTGCTTTTCCAATCCGTCGCAAGTATTATAAGGGATGGACTCATGATGAAATGAAGATTGATATGCATCTAATTTTATCATGCTGGTACTCAGCATTTTCTGAACTAGCATATTTTTCAGGACCATATAAGGCAATTGTATGAGAAAAGTTTGAAAGCCAAGTTTTAAATGGTAGTATGTACTTTCACCTGCCACAGCTCGAAGACTGTTTCCGACAGCACTGATCCCAGCAGTTTTTAAGTTATACTAGCTTCAAAATCTAGAGTAGATGGTTTGAGGCTTGGATGAAAAGTACAAAGACAAATTGTATGTGTTCGGGGGCCAGCCGTCCCTAATAACCGAACATCACATCTTTTGGACGGATGTGTCACGCGCAAGACACGGGCCAGACGAAGGCATGCCCTGATTGGTCAGAATGCCAGCCAATCTGAGTCAAGCACCTCTGACTCGACGCTTCTCGTCCCCTCACGGACATTCTGTCACGACTCTGTGGAACACTCTGTGACCACCCTATGTATACAGTTGTAATGATTTTCCTTTGTCTCTATAAAGGGGCTGTCTAGAGCTACCGTGCATTTTGATACACCATAGTGGGCGGAGCAGGAAGCCAACGGACCGATACAGAGTTGCAATACCGTTCAGCAAGTAGTAAAATCTCTTACTAAAACTTCGCTTCCTGAACTCCATCACCACTGTATCTCCGTTCTCAACATGATTTCAGTCTACAACCACGGTCCTGCCGTGGACAAACGCATTGCGGTTATATCCTATGTAAACATAACTATTGTATGGTCTTTAAGAGTATCAATTGCTTCTGTTGTCGACAGACTTACGTGCCAAGATTTTGGGGTCTTGTACAGACGTCTAAAATATGAACCAATTAACCATCCTTGCATCTGACCCCATCCAGATAGAAAAAAACGTATAGTATCCTGAATACCTCCGCGTCACGATTTAGCACGTGGATCACACCCTCAAAGTGTAAAATGCTGTAGGTAGACTGGGTAGGATCATACCCAAACCTCACGCTTGCATATGACGCAAGTAAACAATGTACCTTACCTTAGTGGACTTATAATTCCTGGTGGTCAAGCTAACGATTTACTGCCTGTCGGGTAGGGAAGGCCAGAAAAACGTCCATCAAACTGCCACATTTGAAGCAGGGAAGGGATATCAGTTTACCTGTCGCAGGTCAAATACGGAGTGCTGCAGTGCACGCAAAT